GAAAGAAAGAAAGAAAGAAAAGAAAGAAAGAAAGAACATGAATTAGCCTTTGGTCCCTTGAACAATACATTGCTTAGACTTGGGATCCCCAGATTAGCAACTTATATCACATAGTAGCATGTTAGGGATATAGACTTGGGCTGGAGAGGTGGCTCAGTGAAGAGCACTAACCTCTCTTCCAGAGAATCCAGGTTCAATTCCCAGCACCCACAAGACAGCTGATAACTCTGTAACTCCAGTTCCAGGGGATCTGACTCCCTCTTCTGGCCTCTGAAGGCACTTAGGCACACATGCTGTTGGTGCACAGACACACAGGAAGCAAAACACTCATACATGTTTTGTTTTTTAAGAAGACGAGATGGAGACTGTCCAGTCTCACTGACTGTGCACAGGGATTGAATTCCTACTTCCATGAGATATGCTGAGGTAACCATGACGGTGGGAGGAGAGCTGGGTCTAGAGCCAAGATTACCACAGACTCACCAGGATACACAGAAGAAGGGAGATGAGTGGGAGTGTGCTGTCAAGTTCTTTTTCCCCATCTATACAGCCAGTGGGGGGTTTATGGGGACAGAGACTTCGGGAACTCATCTAGAGAGCAATGGCCCCTCATGAACCTGCCAGAAAAGAGCTGAACACTGGAAATGTAGCTGTTCTCTGAAGCCAGAGCTCCCCACACAGAGGTTGGTAAGGGCTGGGCATGGTGCTTAACCCAGCACTCAGGAGGCAAAGACATTGGCAGGACCTTTAAATTCAAGGCCCCCCTGAACTACAGAGTGAATTCTAGCCTAGCCAGGGCTACATGGCTCTTGTTTGTTTTCATTAATATATTAATTAATCTAGTGATCTGATGCTTTATTTGTGAGTTCACTGTAACTATTTTTATATTACATAACCAAAACAGCCAAAAGGCAAGACTGTCACAAAACAAAATAAAACAAACACCAAACTCACAGCTAAAGTTAGTCTATCCAAAATATACACAGTTGAGTCAAATTTATTCTTCAATCCCATGTTCTGTCTTTGCGGCAAGTATCTCTGGATTTTCAAACTCACAAAAGCTTCCTAATACAACTCCTTGGAACCTTGGGATCTTGATGGTCATGATGACTATTTGGTGACTGATACTTTTTATGGAAATGTCTCTCAGGTAAGAACTCTCCTATCTCTCACAAGCATTATATCTCTGAAAAGATGAATGAGATTGGTTGAGAAACCTTCAATTAGCCATTTCCATTCAATAATAAACATCTCTGAGCTGTGTGTTGGTGGCACACACCTTTAATCCCAGCACTTGGGAGACAGAGGCAGGCGAATCTCTGTGAGTTTGAGGCCAGGCTGGTCTACAAAGTGAGTTCCAGGACAGGTTCCTTCCAAAGCTACAAAGAGAAACCCTGTCTTATAAAACAAACAAACAAACAAAAAACAAAAAAGCAAATAAACATCACCATTTGTAAGTCTCAAAGGGCCTGAAACTCAGTGTACACAAAATAAAGTGATGACCCCTGGTACCCTCCATAGATAATATTCCTGGCTCCTTGAATGACATTATCAGACAATTACTTGAACGACCCCCAAAGCCTGGGAGTAAATAAACCTTGTCATCTTCCTTTCTGTCATGGGCCACGTCTAACCCAGCTCCAGCTTCTGTCCATTTTTTCTTCCTGCATTTTCTTTTACTCGGTTTTCTTCTTGACATAGTTATCTGCATCTTTATCCAAGCTAACATCTTCTTTGTCCAAGCTACCATTCTGGTTGACATAGCCCCCCATCTCCACTATTGTCCTTTCACTCAGTTCTCTACAGTCCCAGTGATCATTCCAAGACAAACTTCTTCTGATCAGAACCATCCCTCCTGTTTTGAAGCAAGGTCTTACTTGGTAGCTCAGGCTAGCCTCCAACTTGTGATCTTGTTTCTGCTTCCAGGGTTTTATGATCACACACCTTTCCATAGCACCATTTAGACTTCCTAGGAGAGAAAGCAAAAATCCCAGTTTTGGAGATAGGTCTCATTGTGTAGCCCTGACAGCCTAAAACTCACTATGTAGACCAGGCTGGCCTCAGACTCACAGAGATCTGCCTGCCTCTCCCTGCTGAGTGCTGGGATCAAAGGCTTGTACCATCACACCTGGCCCAAAAGGTAAACTTTTGAATTTTATCCACAAAGCCTTGTTTTGTCTGGCACCCAGCATTTCATTGGCCTGACATTCCAGCCCCAGGGACTGTACTCTACCAGGTGGTTTTATATGGGCTGTCTTCTCATGCTAGGCCATCTTCCTTCTGTTGCTCCTCTCTTCAGCCTGGTCAATAATGATGTATGCCTCCCCCACATCTCTGCTTGCATG